ACAAGCAGGGGAGGGGCGGAGAGAGGGGGAGACACAGAATCTGAAGCAGGCTCCAGGCTCTGAGCGGTCAGCACAGAGCCTGACACGGGGCTCGAACTCACGAACCGCGAGGTCATGACTTGAGCCGAAGTCAGATGCTCAACCGACTGAGCCCCCCAGGTGCCCCTAGGTCTGGCTCCTCTTGATTCAGAGAGCTGTGAATTGAAAAGACACCCCCCAAAAACAAACACACAAACATGGCAAGGTGGGAACAAGGTAACTGTTCAAAGAGGGGGGTGGGTAGTGAGCAGCATACAGCAGTAAACTGTCCCCAGCAGCTCTGGGGTCTAGCCCAGCACATGCCGTCTGGGCATCAGTTGTGGTGTCAGTCATTGGTGGTGAGTAACCAGCCCACCAAAGCTGGGTGGTTCGAAACAGCAGATTTATTACATCTCATGATTCTGTGGGTTGACTGGGCAGTGGACTGGCCTCTACTGGGTGCTGTCAGGTGGTTGCAGGGAGCAGGTGGCCGGGGCTGAGGCTGGATGGCGGAGGGTGATCTGACCTGGTCTGCGTGCAGAGGCTGAAGCAGGTCCCTTCCACAGGCTTCCATTCCCAGCCTCGCTGGCCCTTTTGGGGCCTAGGTTTAGAAATCACATTCTGTTGCCAGAACACGGGTCTGGATCCGCCCAGATTCCGGGATGGGGATGTGGGCTCTCTCTTGCTGGGAGGAGTGCCAGTCACATCGTAGAGGGGCGTGAACATAGACGTGATGAATTGTTTGATTATTTTGGTAGTAGGCTCCCACGCTGTCATCCCCTCCATTGTAGGAGTTTGGATACGTTTTTGTTGGCTTCGTTTTCTATTAATTCTTGAAAAGGAAATGTCACTGTTTTTTCTTAGTCTGGGGGTGGGAGACTTAGCAGAGGGATGTCAGGTTAGCTAACCTAAAACAAGTCACATCTTCGTGGCACATCACCTTGTCAAGGCTGCTCTCCTTCTTTCCCCAGATTTCCTGACCGTTGTGGTTCTGTATCACCTGGGCACACTCTGATTCTTGGGCCCCACACCAGATTTGCTGAACCAGAAATTCCAGGGGTGGGCCAGGCAGTCTGTGCTCTAACACGCCTGCCAGGTGATTCCGATGCCCCTGAGACTTGAGAATCACTGTTCCTGCAGATTCGTTTTTGTTTTTTAATTTTTAAAAAATGTTTATTTATTTTTGAGAGAGAGA